GTGCAATTCTAAGAACCGAGCTATGTTTGTGCTCGGTCAGTATTTTAGCTCGGCTTGGCAAAGTGTTCTTGGAGTTGATTGGCATGGACTTTGACAGGTTGGTTGAAATTGAAAAAACGGTAATCCTAAATCATGCGGTGCAGATGGAATTAAAGGGCAATTGAGAGGGTAATTTTTGTGAATAAATTGGGCCGGACAGAGGACTGGGCTGTGGGCCGAGCAAGTAATCAGACTATAGGCCGATGTAGGAGATTGGGTAGCTTGGTCCTGGTTCAGGTGAGTTGTCATTGGTACTTGGGTTTAGTTGTCTAGTGGTAGCCTTGCAACAGTCTTAGAGGTTGTTGGCCGAGCTGGGTATGGCACGGCGTGAGGACAATTGGTAACAGAGACATTGCGGCTCAGCTAGGTTGAGCATGAACCAAGATAGCTCGGTGGATTGCGAAGGCAACCGAGATAACGAGTATGTGCACCCAATAACTCGGCTGGGTATAGTAAGGCAAACAAAAATATGACCAACCATCTCACTTGGCTTGCAGTGATGAGGGAGTTTTAAGGATAGGCATTATCCTTAAGAATGTGATTCCTAGGAGAACTCTGTTAAGGAAAGTTGGAGTCCTACTAGAACTGTACTAGGCGGAATCTATAAGAGCTCATGACAGAACCTATGGACATATATCACAATTTCAACTCTAAAATACTGAGAGCTTATAGTCTATTTGCTGACTTAGGCATAAGAGAGGTATCCGGCACACACCCACCGGCTAACTTGCTGACTTAGGCATAAGAGAGGTTTCCGGCACACACCCGCGCGGTTAGCTCACGTTTGTGTTTTCAGTTAGTAAGGCGACGACTTTTAGAGGAGTGCAAACTTGATCAACATGATTATATGAGAAGATTATTTCGTGCTCATACAATAATAATATAAAATAATAACATCAATGTTATTTTATTTGTGTATGAAATTTCTTGTGTCTTGATCCTTTCCCTTCTCTCTCTTCCCCCAACATTAAATAGCAATATTAAATATAAGGGCAGAAGAGTCTAACAAAATAGTGTAAATCAAAAAAAATATTTTATAGAATAAAACTATAAATGTATGAGACTAAGTGAGTTAAAAAATTCCTTTATGGATTTCTTGGGTTAAAACACTTCTAAATGAGATTTATCAATAAAAATCCCAAGATAAAATTATGTAAAATTGATAAATCTTTTAGACATTTATTTATTTATTTTACTAAATTAATTTTTATTATGTGTTTGAATGATAATCATGTAATGAGAGATTGTTAGATTTTTAATATGTAATCGATATATTTAATATATGAAATATTTTTAATTTTGAATTTTTTGATTTAATGGATTGGTTTAATAATAATATCAAAGTTGTCGCTATATTTTACTTTTAGAAAAATAGAAACTAATTTAATGAAAATAAAAATAACCACCCGCGACATAATCATCATCTAAATACATTGGTAAAATAAATGAATAAATAAATGTCTAAAAAATTTATCAATTTTACATAGTTTTATCTTTATTGGAACTTCGTTTAACATTGGCTACGGAAGTCAACTTTTTTGTGTTAGGACTTTTTTAGCTTTGTTTGGTTTTTGTTTTTGAGTTTTTTTGACTTTTATGAGAGACAAAGTGTAATGATTATAATTATCACATGACTAGATTCTGTTAAAAATTTAGACAATTGAGTTAGAGACAGAGGACATTGACACTTATGTAGGGACTAAAGTGAGATTTTAAGGATCAAAGTGAGATTTTAAGGACCAAAGTGAGATTTGACAATAAGTGTAAGGGGTTGATTGCCACGATTTCATGTGTAAGGATCAAAGTGAGATTTGATACAAAGTGTAATTTATCCATATTTTTACTATATAAGACCTGCATGGTGTGAATCCTACACCTATATAAGACATTTGATAAAAATATTGACAAAATATTTGGGATCCATTGCATTTTTCATTATTAAAAGTAGTGTTTGTTCTCAAATTTTTTTCTCCCTGACGTACCACATTTTTTTTTTTAATTAAAATGCCACATTAATATAACCTTTTACCAATATGCTTTCTAAAATTTAATATTTAAAAGATTTTTACTTAATTGTGTTTGCTCTCAATTTTTCTCTCCTGTATGGCACATCTTTTTTTTTTTTATTTATTAAAATATCACATCAATATATTTTTTTACTAAAATTCTTTCTAAAATTTAATATTTAAAAGATTTTTACTTAATTGTGTTTGCTCTCAATTTTTCTCTCCTGTATGGCACATCTTTTTTTTTTATTTTTTAAAATATCACATCAATATATTTTTTTACTAAAATTCTTTCTAAAATTTAATATTTAAAAGATTTTTACTTAATTGTGTTTGCTCTCAATTTTTCTCTCCTGTATGGCACATCTTTTTTTTTTATTTTTTAAAATATCACATCAATATATTTTTTTACTAAAATTCTTTCTAAAATTTAATATTTAAAAGATTTTTACTTAATTGTGTTTGCTCTCAATTTTTCTCTCCTGTATGGCACATCTTTTTTTTTTATTTTTTAAAATATCACATCAATATATTTTTTTACTAAAATTCTTTCTAAAATTTAATATTTAAAAGATTTTTACTTAATTGTGTTTGCTCTCAATTTTTCTCTCCTGTATGGCACATCTTTTTTTTTTATTTTTTAAAATATCACATCAATATATTTTTTTACTAAAATTCTTTCTAAAATTTAATATTTAAAAGATTTTTACTTAATTGTGTTTGCTCTCAATTTTTCTCTCCTGTATGGCACATCTTTTTTTTTTATTTTTTAAAATATCACATCAATATATTTTTTTACTAAAATTCTTTCTAAAATTTAATATTTAAAAGATTTTTACTTAATTGTGTTTGCTCTCAATTTTTCTCTCCTGTATGGCACATCTTTTTTTTTTATTTTTTAAAATATCACATCAATATATTTTTTTACTAAAATTCTTTCTAAAATTTAATATTTAAAAGATTTTTACGTAATATAAATTACTCATAAACAAAACCTAATAGAATTATACATACTAAAAATATTTTACCAATTAATTTTATTATATTTTTTTTCACTTTTTTAAAAAATTAAATATTAATATGATTTCTTATTCTTATGCCTATCTGATTTATAATATTAATTATATTGAATTTCTTAAATAATTAGAATCACTTTTAATTTTATAACAATTATTTATAATATCAAGTTATAATTTAATATCAGATAAATTTATTATATATATTTATTTCAGTTATATTTTTTAAGCACAAAAAGGTTAAAATTATCAAATGAATATTTCTTTTTTTGTGTTATAATTTAGAATTATTATATATATTTATTTAATTTATATTTTATAATACGGTAGAGCTAAAATTATTAAAATATACATAAATAATTTATTTAAAATTATTATGTATTGATTTATATAAGATTTTTATAAAACGATAAAATTATCAAAATAAATTAAAAAATACTGTTTACCTTTCACTTTTTCTCTCTCCTATGTAGTGCATCACCCTTTTTTTTTCTTTTTTCTTTTTTTTATTAAAATTCCAGATTAATATCAAAATTATTTCTAAAATTTAATATTTAAAAGATTTCTACTTAATCTAAATTACCTACAGACAAAATTAATAGAATTATACATACTAAAAATATTTTATCAATTAATTTTATTATATTTTTTTCACTTTTTTTAAAATTAAATATTTAAAATATTTATTTTTATGATATTTATTGTATATATTTATGTAAGTTACATTTTTATAACAAGATAGAACAAAAATTATTAAAATACACATAAATAATTAGAATAAATAATTAGAAGATGTATAAATAATTTAATTAAATTTTAAAATAAATAATTATACACAGCTTTTATTTTAACTAAAATTATTAACATAAATAATTAGAATCATTATTTAAATTTTAAATTATTATTTATTTATTTTTAATTTAACAATTATTTTAAATATTATAAATATTTAAAAATATAAATAATTTAATTAAATTTTATATAAAAACATATTTTAAAATAAATATATTTAGCCCGTACATCACACGTTAATGACTAGTCGACAAATAATTTGAGAGAACGGTGTGTTTGGTTTGTATTTGTAGAGTAATTTTTGAGATAAAAAGTAAGAAAATTTATTTGGTTTGTTTTTTTTTTAAAAATGGTTTTAAAAAATTATTTTGAGGAGAGAATTTTAAAAATAGTGATTGATTTGATGTGTATGAGAGATAGAGTGATTTTAGAAAATAGGTAACCAAATAAAATTTTAAGATTTTTTTTGAAAAATTTTACTATTTGGTTTGATTACTTTTAAAAATTTATTTGTAGAAAATTTTTAAAATTTTTCTAAAAAACAAACCAAACAAGGTCTATAGTTTTTGTTTTTAATGAATGTATTGTAGGGACGGTTTGTTATATTTTTTTTTTATTATAAACATAACTTATTTTGATTTAGGAATTTATGTTAGTTTATTTGGCACAGTTTTTGCTTATATGCTATCAGACAGAAATAATTTAAATAAGTTAAAAAAATAAATTATTTAAAAATTGGAATAGAAATACTTTTAATTTCTATTTTTTAATTATTAACTTTTAATTTAAAAAAAATTCCACTAAACAAGACCGTAATACTGAACTTGAAAAATATTAAAGAACACTAAAAATAGAACTCTAATAAAAACTTTATTTATGTGGCTGTAAATCCCATTCATAAATAATTTGATGTATACATCTTATTTTTCAATCCACTCATGAATGTTTTTAATAGAACTCTAAAATCATTGTTAGGATTCTAAATTTAAAGTTATGAATAATTTGCTCTACTGAACTTTATGGATAATGGATTAAAGCCAAACAAGACAGACTTCCCAAATAAATAATTATAAAAAAAAAAAAAACACGTCATAACAAGGACAACCTTCTTCATTGGAAAAGTCTCTCTCTTGTCCCTCTTTTTTGACTGACTCAACCCCCTTACAAGTAAAGAAGAGCTCTCTCTCTCTCTGGCGGATTTAGAGAGAGGACTAGTTTACCTTTTGCTCCTCCCTCTTTTATTCTGAATTTCTTTTCCCTTTGCCCAAATTTCAGGCACCAGAGAATCTGAAGTTTGGGAAAATTTTGGGTTTGTCTTTGATTGTCCCAAAGTTTTGAGAATCAAAATGTTTGGAATTGGGTGTGAGTGTTTTTGCTGGGACAGTGCCTCAGAATTCTGCCCTTTGGAACCTCAACCCTTTTCTCTTCCTTATCCCATTCCACAATGGCCTCAAGGTATGCCTTTTAAAATCAATTATTTATGTTTTCCCCCCAAAATTTTTAGAATTTTTTTTCTTCTCTGGGTATTTCGCTGATGATCGTTGATGATGATTGTGATAAATATATATACATATTTTTTTAAAATTTTCCCTCATTTTTTATTTATTTTTTAAAATACCCAGATTTTAGCTTAGCTTTGTACTGGTCTCTCTCTCTCTCTCTCTCTCTCTCTCTCTCTCTCTCTCAAAAATAGCTTCTTGTCAGTTTATTATTGTCAACCTTAAATTTGGTTTTATTTTTTTTGAGTAAAATAATGGGTAATTCTACAATCTTCATGTGGATCTTCTTTGCAAACTGTAATCTGATTATGTTTTAGTGTGTTGATCATTGGAGTTGGAAATTATGCTCTGAGTTTTCAATTTTCACTTGTTTTCTCTAATTTTTTTTTCTTTGTAATATTTATTTTAAACTTTCATTCTTTCTTTCTTCTTCTTCTTCCTTTTTTTTATTTTTTATTTTATTTTATTTTTATTTTATTTTATATATATAAAAAAAATTATGATAAAAAGTTTCATTAAATGAAGCAAACATCTCATGTTAGAGGCACATGTTAAAATAGGTCCTATTTTGAAATTTCAAGTCTTTGAAATTCTGGTAAACAATTATCAATTAAAAAAAAAATTCCATCAAAGAGCTCAACATTTTATTGGTGCTGAATAATTTTGGTATTGGACACAAATAGTGCTTAATTTAATATATTGTGTTTTCCACCATATTGGACAGTTTTTGGAGTAATACAATTGCTCAACCCCAAGTGAGTATGAAAGAAGGCTCTGAGTATGGAGTTGAGATATTGGATTTGTACAGAAGAAATGCCAATTTTGTACATATGTTTCCATTTATGGTAGATTGTTCATGTTGGTATTGAATATGTTGATGAATTCATTGCTGGTGGTTTCAATCACACAATAAAACAGTAAAATAAAAGAACAAGCATACACAGAAAACAAGAACACAAGGTATGCAGACTACAAGACATTTCACAACATTCATTAATCAGTGAAGAAAAAAAAAATTGTATTTCAATAGAAAATTAGCTTAGCACTATTTTTCCCCCCTTCTGTTTTTCTTTTTCCAAAATTAAGTAATTTCATTACAGTAATTTGGATTAGAAGTATGCCATTCATAATTTGATCTTAAACAAACATTTCATTGTATTTGTCCTGTGTAGCTACATTTGCTTCCTTCATCAATTGATGTAATGTCACCTTCTCAGGTCAAGGTTTCGCTACCGGGAAAATTTGCCTCGGAGAAATAGAAGTTCTTAAAATCACCAAGTTTGAAGGTATATGGAGCTGCACTCCCAGAAAATCAAAAGGTGTCACATTCTATCGACCTGTGGATGTCCCAGAGGGATTTTTTAGCCTCGGTCACTATTGCCAGCCCGATGACCAGCCGTTAAGAGGCTATGTTCTTGTGGCCCGAGATGTTGGTGCCACCCGGCAAAACATTAGCTCTATTTGTGGCTCAGTGCCAAAAAACTCTCCAGCTCTTAAAAAGCCTTTCGGTTACACGTTAATTTGGCGTACAGATTCTCATCACAGTGGATGTGGATACGTCTGGCTGCCAAAACCGCCAGCAGGTTATAAAGCCATGGGTTATGTGGTTACTGGCAAGCCAGATGAGCCAGATTTTGAAGAAGTTAGATGTGTGAGAGCTGATCTTACTGAGACTACTGAAACTTGTGATATGATACTTGAGACAGATTCAAGTTTTTCAAAGCCACCACTTAGAGTTTGGAACATGAGGCCCAGCCGAAGGGGGATGTTGGCTAAAAGTGTTTGTGTCGGGACATTCTTCTGCACTACCAACCACAGCTCAGGAGATGAGCTAAACATTGCGTGCTTAAAGAATCTTGATTCAACCCTACATGCAATGCCGAATCTAGATCAGATTCATGCCCTTATCAAGCACTACGGGCCCACCGTGTTCTTCCATCCGGATGAGATCTATTTGCCCTCATCGGTATCATGGTTTTTTAAAAATGGGGCACTTTTGTATCGAAATGGCAAGGTCAAGGGAGAGCCCATTGATTCTAGGGGCTCAAATTTGCCTGGTGGTGGAAGAAATGATGGAGAATATTGGATAGACTTGCCAGACAACAAGGATGAGAGAAATTTTCTCAAAAATGGTGATATTGAGAGTGCTGAGCTCTACGTTCATGTAAAACCGGCTTTAGGAGGAACTTTCACGGATATTGTCATGTGGGTTTTTTGCCCCTTCAATGGACCGGCCACCATTAAAGCCAGCTTGGTGAATATTGAATTGAGCAAAATAGGCGAACATGTGGGCGATTGGGAGCATTATACTCTCCGTGTGTGCAACTTCACCGGAGAGCTTTGGAGCATGTACTTCTCGGAGCACAGTGGTGGTGAATGGGTGAACGCTTGTAATTTGGAGTACATTGAGGGAAATAAGCCAATTGTTTATTCATCAAAAAGTGGCCATTCAAGTTACCCACATCCTGGGTGCTATATTCAAGGGTCTTCGAAAATTGGTATAGGTTTGAGGAATGATGTTGCTCAGAGCAAATATTTTGTGGATTCAAGCACTAGGTATCAGATAATTGCAGCCGAGTATCTTGGAGTTGGAGTTGTAAATGAGCCAAATTGGTTACAGTATATGAGAGAGTGGGGTCCAACCATTGTGTATGATGCTCGATCTGAACTGAATAAGATAATCAGCTATTTTCCTATATTGCTTCGATTTTCAGCTGAGACCTTTTTTGAATTGTTTCCAACTGAGATTTATGGCGAGGAAGGGCCAACAGGACCAAAGGAGAAGGATAATTGGGTTGGGGATGAAAGATCATAGGTTTGTTTCGTTTGATTGCTTGCTTTTTTTCTGTTGTAGTCCGGTTGTGAGTTCGGTTCCTTTCCATTTGGTTCAACTACAAGTCCAATCACAATATTGTCTTTGGGCAAAAGGATTGGTCTTGCAGGCTACTGGAGCAAAGTGGAAACAAATTTCAACAATTGCCATTCTTCCCCACAGCTATATTCTTAGGTATGCTTCTATATCTCTCACTGCGAATTGTTTGTAGAGGAGGTACCTTTGTTGTAACAGTATGAACACATATATATAGACATGCTATGAAATTAGCAAATTATGCTTTTCTTGTATCCAAGTTTGCAAGAAGAATAAGCATTCTGTACCATCAGCTCGAAATGTGAACTCTTTGTGGATTCCACGCAAAGTTTTATAGAGATTGCATATATGAAGTAAATGTTTCTGGTGTTGTTAATTGATTTCAAAATGAGCCTTACGATCCTGCTTTCTTTTTTATTCCACAATCTTGATTTTATACAATGTCTATTTTGTGAACATAGAAAGAGTTGACATTGATTTGGGTTGAATTTTGGAGATTTCGTTATCTGTTAATATCTTTGTGTAGATAGGCAATAATAGCTTTAAGTTAGTAATCACAGGCCTCTCAAATATTTGACTTTTTAGACTCTGATCAATCCCAAATCTGTGCAGTTCAATCGCATCCGATTGTTTGATTTTTGTACCTCCAATGTTGAGGTTGTGAGTTCATGTTCTCCCACATGTTGTTGTTGGATAATTTTCAAAAATTTGCTCTGTTTGGAAGGATTTTCAAATCCTGATTCTTCCCCCACATTGGAACATCATGTTTGGATAGAGTTTTGGAACTAATTTTTCACAACAAACACAAAATTCTACAGAAAACTCTCTGTAAAGTGTGATTTTCGAACTTTTTTATTTTGAAATTTGGCCTAACCGGTCATCCCACCGGATGTCTTACTAGACATCTTACCGGTCGTCTGGCCGGTTGACCGGAATAGTGCAATTTTTTTTTGGCAATTGATATGTTAATTTTTATATGTTTGAAAAAAAATATTTTTCGAATTTTTAAAATTTTTTTATGTGTTTTAATAGAATTTTGAGTTGTATGTTTGGTTATGAGTTGTAAGTTTTTTATCAAATATCAAATGTCACATCAAAAATTCCCCACTCAATTCAAAACTTTTTTCAAAACTATTTTTAAAACTTTTTTACCAAACAAATTTTCTATACTCAAATCATAATTCCAAAATTTACAAATTCAAAATGTAACTCATACTCTCAAATCATAGTTAAAAAGCTCTATATCAAACGCAACATTTGAAGTTTTCAATTGATTTTTTGTTGTTGAAAGCACATGAAAAGGGTGTTTCGTTTGTCTGACATAGAAAATAAAGGAAACAAACTATGGATGTATATGTAAGTACATGATAAAATAAAATTGTCTTATAAAATCAAAGGTGTTTACGCAAGGGTTGCATTCTTTGCTTACAATGGCGTGCGAAATTTGAATCATACATAGGATCTGATCATTTCAGATACTTCAATTCTTCTTATTTCATAACAATTTTTTTTCCCAACAATATATACATAATTGTTTTCTTTGCAACACAAATAGTTGGTAGAATGGAGTTACAATACAGGGAAAGTAATTGACAGTTTATTCATTTGAGGAAAAAATAATAATCATTCAATCCTTCTGAGCATTCTTCTCAATACGAGAAACTGAGCCTTGAACCAGATTTAATCAAGGAAAAGAAAATAAACCCACAAAAAAAAAAAAAAAAAGCTTTATGATAGACAAATTACAGGAAACATCACATTTGTTGGTTTGGCTTGTCGACTGGGGCAAGTGGAGCTTGTGGCGGTGCACGCATTTCAGATGTGATCAGATTCAAATTTGGATTTCTTAAAAAGCTTCGTTTTGAATGTTTTTGTATTGGTTTTGAATTGGACTGTAACGAAACCAACTTACTGTGTCTCACAAGAGGCCGATAACAGGAGAGTTGCCGAAGACTGGCTTTTCGCTGTTATGACAAATGCTTTTTCTTCGTGGTTTTGCTTCTCCAAGCATTGTTATGACATCTCTCATCGTTGGCCTGTCTTTTGGATTCTTGGCAGTACAGATAAGTGCGATTCGTAGGACAAGAAGCATCTCTTCTTGAACATGTTTGCATTGGCCTGCAATGTTGCTGTCCAATGGTTCTTCTGATGCCATTTTGTTACGAATCTTACTCCGAACCCATTCTACAATATCTGTAAACTCCCCAAATTCAGGGTCTAATGGCTTTTTCCCGGTTACAAGCTCTAGAAGCACCACGCCAAAGCTATATATGTCGCTTTTTTCGTCCACCTTCAATGTGTAACCATATTCTGCAATATCAAACATTTTCTAGAATTTCAGACACTTGTTTGCACAAAAACTAAACTCTGGAAAAGTAATGTGTGACATTGCCAAAAAAAAAAAAAGGGAATATATTGTTTGTGGTAAATAAAGATTGGGAATTTACCAGGTGCTATATATCCATAAGAACCAGCCACCATTGAAACTGTTTCATTCTTCTGAATCATTGTCCTTGCTAATCCAAAATCTGCAATCTTAGCCTCAAAATCTGCATCAAGAAGAATATTGTTGGACTTGACATCGCGGTGAATCACCGGTGGATTGCAATCATGGTGAAGGTAAGCCAATCCATTCGCAACGCCCACAGCTATGTTATACCTTGAAACCCAATCCACCAACATTTTCGTAGCATTTTCACCGTGCAAGGCCTCTCCAAGGTTGCCATTTGGCATGTACTCGTATACCATCATCACATCATTCTCGTTGTGCAGGTACCCCAATAGTCTCACTATGTTCCTATGCCTAAGCCTCCCAAGTAAATTTACTTCTCTGAACAAGTCATCTCCACTTTCAACATCTACATCCGATCTCCATAGCTTCTTAACCGCCACAATTGAATGTGGGCGTTGGATTTCTGCCTTGTAAACAATCCCCGTTGACCCCATACCGATCACATTTGACTCCTTCACGCATGCTAATATGTCAGTGCTCGTGAAACTGAGCCTCTGGAATGCTATTAGCCTCCAGGGCCACTCTGCAGAGCTCCACTTGTACCAATCTGTGAAGAAAGTGTTGTACAAGTACCATCTTTTGTACATCTTTTTCCCTTACCTACAAACACAGTCAACCCGAGAGATAAAATCACTGAAATTCCGACAGCAAATCCAACGATAACGTGATTGATGATGTGAATTTTCCTTTTCCTTTGCCGTGATGCGGTGGTGGAAAAACTTTGGGAACAAGGTGGAAGGATGCCATTGCCACCACAAAGTCCCACGTTGCCTATGAGATCATTCGGGTTTATGGTCGTCAAAATCCCATTGTTGGGAACCGGTCCCTCGAGCTTATTGTAAGACAAGTTTAGCATTTCCAGGGCAGGCGAGCTTCCAAAATTCTCAGGTATGGTTCCGGTGAGTGAATTGTTTGATAGATCAAGAATTGCCAACATAGGTAGTGCCGCTATCGGTCTTGGGATTTCCCCAGTGAATTGGTTGTTTCCAAGGTTCAAATTCACAAGCCTTTCGCATGAAGCGATACTTTGTGGGATTTTGCCAGAGAAATGGTTGCTCGAAAGATCAAGGACAGAAAGCGATGGACAGTCCTGGAATTGGTCAGGAATATTGCCTCTTAAGTTATTATTCGAAGCAATAAAGTTTTGAAGACTAGGAATGAAAAGAATGTTTGAAGGAAGAGATGATTCGAGGCGGTTCCACGAGACATCTATAAAAGAAAGCGACAAAGATAAAGCGAAATCATCTGAAATTGTACCGGTGAGATTGTTATTCGCCAATTCCAACCTCTGGAGTTTGGGAAGATTTCCAAAACCGGTTGGAATTGTCCCGGAAATCAAATTATTTTGAACTCTAACCCGGACAAGTGAAGAACAAGTCGAAAAGCCTAATGGGATTGGACCCGAAAATGAATTGTTGAAAAGAATGAGTTTAGTAAGATTACCGGAATCACACAACCCGGCTGGAATATCACCTGAAAGTGAATTAGAAGACACATCTAGCCACTGCAATGGGGAGTTCTGGCCAAGATTTGCAGGTAAAGGACCTGTCAAAGAGTTTTGCCATAGCTCAAGTACTGATAACTTAGTTAACTCACCAATCTTGCTTGGAATTGGACCAGTTAGTTGATTGCACATCAAATTCAATAGCTCCAGGTTCTTCAAATCCGCAATCTCATTTGGAATCTCACCCGAAATCTGATTATCAGAGAGATCCAAGAACACAAGAGCGGTCATGTTTCCAATTTCTTTCGGAATCTTTCCTTCAAATCTGTTCTGATACAAGTAAACTGTGGTTAATTTCTTGAGCCTTCCCAATTCAGAAGGAATTGGACCACTGAGACTCCCAACTGCTAAATCCAAGTATTGAAGATTATCAAGATTACCAAATTCTGGTGGGATAGGACCTTCAAACTCGTTGTATCCGAGAATGATTGTCTCTAAAGCCGAAAGCAACCCGAGCTCTGGTGGGATTTTCCCAGTCAGATTATTCCCGGAAAGTCCAAGAAACTTGAGATTCTGCAGATTCTTGAAAGAAATAGGAACTGAACCTTCGAAGAAACTCCCACGAAAATCAATACTCTCGAGTGATGTAACATTGCCAAGATCCTCAGGGAGAAAACCCGAGAAATTATTGCTCGACGCATTCACGGACTTCAATCCTGAAGCCCTGCCAAGGCCCCCTGGAAATCCTCCAATGAAATTGTTCTGACTGACATCAATGCTCTTCAATGAAGTGATGTTGGAGAGTGAGTTTGGCAATTCTGAGGACAACCCATTGCAGCAAATGTTGAGATAAGCAAGACTGTGAAGGCCTTGTATTCGATCCGATACTCTGCCACTGAGATTCATGTTGGAAAGATCAAGCTTTTCGACATAGCCATTGGAGTTGCACGAAACACCAGTCCAATTGCAGTGAAATGGACCGGTATCGGAGCTATTGATGGGGACTTTCCAGTCTGACAGGTGATCGGCAGGATCAATGAGAGTGGACTTTATGGAGAGAAGAGATGATACATCATTACTATCATTTGGTGGTAGAGTTAGAGCTCCCTCAGCAAAAACAAGAGAGAGACCAATGTAACAGTGGAAGAAGAAGAAGAAGAAGAAGAAGAGAAGGTGTGTGTGCATTTTGTTGTTGTTCTTCTTCTTCTGTTGTGTTTGTTCCTCTTCTCTTCACTTTTTAGCCATCTTTTGGGGTATGTGGAACATGGGTGTATAATGGTGGCAAGAGAGTCTTTATATCAAATAGAGAGACAAGGCAAGAGATGATTGGATAATAAGTTAGGTACGGTGATTCAAAAAAGTAGAGTAATATATAATATTATTTTTATTTCAATGGTGTTACATGTATTAATTAATTTACTAATTAGTGTACTAGTATTAGTTAGTTATGATTTATTTATCTAAAAAACACATTACTTATGACATTATTATTGACTTCACCCATTATACAAACAGTGGTGCTATATATACTAAATACTAATTAGTATACTACCTAGTGTACCAACACTAGTCATGACATTATTATTGACCTCACTCATTAATCACATTACAAATACCAAAAACCTTTTAAATTATGCCACATTATCAATTGGTACATTAGTTAGTGTACTAATTAGTGCATATAGCATTATTCTTATACAAATTACAAATATTAAAAATATCTTAAATTATGTCATATCATCAATTGGTATACTAATTAGTACACTAATTAATGCATATAGCACTATTCTTTTTATTTATATAATGGGACCCTTTTTCCATCTGGAAAACTAGAATAGATTAATGGGAGTTTTGAGTTCGTGAGGTCTTGGGATTGAGAAGAAACAGCTATTGATTAGCGCATCTAATGACTGTAAAGGTTTTGGACTTAATTGAGAATCTACCCGACACCAAAACATGCAAGGAATGTGTTTCTCATCAAGTGAATGCATTACCTTGTACTTTTTCTTACTAATTAATTCATCATACATACATAGGTCAACCCATGTTGATGATAATTAATTGATGTTCTTGTGATTAATTGTTAAAAGTCCATTTGTATTTATCTGATTCAACCATATTTTTTATAATAGAAAAAAAAATTACAAAAAAATAAAATAAAATATAAAAGTAACTCTAGGGTTTGAGTTTCATAACAAAATAAATTCTGAATTTTTAATTTTGTGAACTTAAACCATAAACTTTTGATTTATTTTTAATGTAAATCATATACTTATTTTCGTTAAGTAAAACTAGTGGGAAAAATGTCTAAAACACAATTTGTCCTTGAGTTTAATGACGAAAGGTATCATTTTACTATTAATTTTACATAGGCAAATAGTTTAAATTGAAAATAAATCAGAAGATTATGGTTTAAATTAACAAAATACAAAATTCAAGATTTATTTTGTTACAAAGTTTAAACCCTAAGTGTTTTTTATTTTTTTTTTTGCAATTTGGTAAATATTATTTTAAGAATATACTACCTATTTTTTTTTTTTTATATATATATAAACAGAACCGATAATGTGACTATCAATTTATGATCAATTTGAATTTGTACATGGATGATATGCTTAATAGACCCTAGAAGTTAAGTCCACAACGATCTATATTGGAACCTTCCGTCTAATTTTTAGACTTGATACAAGCTTGATCCATCTATATATCTTTTTCTTACTAATTAATTCATCATACATACATAGGTCAACCCATGTTGATGATAATTAATTGATGTCCTTGTGATTAATTGTTAAAAGTCCATTTGTATTTATCTGATTCAACCATATTTTTTATAATAGAAAAAAAAATTACAAAAAAAAAAAAATATAAAAGTAACTCTAGGGTTTGAGTTTCATAACAAAATAAATTTTAAATTTTAAATTTTGTGAACTTAAACCATAATCTTTTGATTTATTTTCAATCTAAATCATATACTTATTTTTGTTAAGTAAAACTAGTGGGAAAAATGTCTAAAACACAATTTGTCCTTGAGTTTAATGACGAAAGGTATCATTTTACTATTAATTTTACATAGGCAAATAGTTTAAATTGAAAATAAATCAGAAGATTATGGTTTAAATTAACAAAATACAAAATTCAAGATTTATTTTGTTACAAAGTTTAAACCCTAAGTGTTTTTTATTTTTTTTTTTGCAATTTGGTAAATATTATTTTAAGAATATACTACCTATTTTTTTTTTTTTATATATATATAAACAGAACCGATAATGTGACTATCAATTTATGATCAATTTGAATTTGTACATGGATGATATGCTTAATAGACCCTAGAAGTTAAGTCCACAACGATCTATATTGGAACCTTCCGTCTAATTTTTAGACTTGATACAAGCTTGATCCATCTATATATGTATAAAAGAAAAGGAAAATGTCTCGTATAAAAGTAACACCGTTGTGTTACTAACTAATAAAAAAATGGATTAAGTAGACAAATTTTTTCTCATTAACTTAACAATATTTTGATCCGTACAATAAAACGAGAATGGTCATTGAATAATATTTAGGCCTCGTTTGGGAACAGACTAATTTAGTAACTTTTTGGCTATTTAGCTAAAATATGAGCTAAAAAAAACTAGTATGTTTGGAATGATTTTTTGACTTTTTATAAAAAGATGTGCAAAAAGTAGAGAGAAAAGGAAATTTTTGACTTTTGGTATGAGTTGTTAGCTTTTTGACTATTGGTATGAGTTGTTAACTTTTTGACTAATTTAATAACTATTTAGCTTTTTGACTAAAAAGGAGGGTTTCCAAACGAGGCCTTACTCGCCAATTAGTTAGGGTACATCCATGAACACCCTGATGACTAATGTAAAAAAAAATTATTCTCGCTGTGTCTCAAGTCTTGTAAATTATTTAGTATGTTTTTTGATAATAAATTTTAATCCACAAATCAAGGGGTACATCCAGGGATTTTTGCCCAAATTTGGTTTAGATTTTTTTTTTTGAAGCTTTGAAGTGCTAACAAACAATTATCTGAGGAAGATAAAAAAAAAAAGACAGAAGAGAATCTCTCCATGTTACAGGGTGATTAGAAGAAACAACAGACAAGTACAAGCTTTCTCTGCTTCTGTATGTGTGTGCGAGAGAGAGAGAGAGAGAGAGAGAGAGAGAGAGTGCTATATGGGGATGAAAAGGGAAATGCATCAATCATTGTAAAGTGTGTACCAACCAAACACCACCATTTCTAAAACAATAACAAACAGTGCCTACCCACATGCACTCATATGGCACAAGTAGATTTTTCAGGATTTAAAAACTCTCAACGGTGCAAATTAATTATGTTTTAAAAAAAAGAAGAAGATTGATATGTATTATCCCATAATAATAAAGGAGGTGGAAGAGGCTGGAGGCCATGTGAAGCTATGCTGCAGCTTCCTTGAGATAGGACTATTATGTATTGTCCCATTATTGGAAGGGACACCCCTCTACCCTTTCCCACCAAAAACAATAATACAAATAATAAATTATAATAATAAGAAAAAACCTCCAAATATATGGTAGGATAGCGTGAATATAATTATAGGAAATTAATTATTTAAATGTTAATCATTAAATTTGAAGTATAACTCTAAGAATATAAAATTAAAACACAAAATGAGTCACAGAAAATGTAATAATAGATTTAGAATTATTATGAATGTGAACCCCTAAACTCTTTTTCTTAATTTGGGTGACTATATTTACATCTCTTATATATTCTTTCTTATCATATTAAAATCATAACAACTGCAGACATAATCATAATTTTAGAATGAATCATTTAAGAATAATGTTTAGGAGTTCTAATTTAGAGTTCCAATGTAGTTCTAATGATGTAGAAAGTGCCCAAGTGAAGAGAGAGCCACACTTCTCTCTCTCTCTCTCTCTCTACTCTCTCTCTTCTATTTCATTAGAGTTACTATTTTAGAATTATGTATTATTATTGATCATTTAAATCTTTTATTTTTTATGTCCGTGTTTTATTTATAATTTTTGTACTTGTATGTCACAATAATCCTAATTAATTGTAATATATGCTTAATAATACCTTGTGCAAATATGAACTCATTTTGAGAGAATCAATCGAATCCAGCATTAGGTGCACCACATGGCTTTGTACCAACAAAGCCACCATCACCATTTCATCATTGAAAGGAGTATGGGACTCCAATTTTATTATTGTTTTCCTTTTCTTAAGATTATTTTTATTATTATTATTTTGGTCTTGAATTATTGTTATTATTGAAAAATTGGTTTGTCTTGCTCTGTCTTTAAACCCTTCCCCTAGGATCAACTAAGGATTAGTGTTAATTTTAATTGAGTTTATAAATGCAATCTGTTTATAAATTTGAACAAATTTAAACAGATTTTAAATTAATGCAATTGAATATATTCATGGTTTTCGATTAATTTGTCACCTCTAAACAAAACCATGGAATACGCACACAAAAAAATTAAAATTAAATATTTGTTTAAAAAATAAAAATTTACTTTTTGAGCTGAGCTATTTGCTAGTGGCCCAATCCAATTGAAAGATTTTCTTTCTTACATAGACTTTGAACCGTGTTGGGCTTGGACACAACACAATTGAGAAAATGTAGGAAGAGCAGCATATATGATATATGTATCGCAACAAGAGACCTGCGATGCTAGTTAAAAAAAGTTTAAAAATAGGGCAAATCATAAATATATTTTTTAAGATTTGTTGAAAGTATAAATTATTTTTTGTAATTTGAAAAATTATAAATATCTTATTGTTAAAATTTTTTATTTAACAAAATTAACTAAAAAAATGAAATTTATAATTATTCTCCTATACAATAATAAAATTATCTAAATTATTAATTAAAATATATTTCCAACATCATTAAAAACTGTTAATTGACTTGATAATTTATTAATAAAATGAACGATTTGTTATGAAATTAGAAATATTAAACAATGAAATGTAATTTTCAAAACCATAAAAAATAATTTATATTTTAATAAAATGTGAGGAGTAAAAATAAAATATAATGTAATTTAAAAATGTTAAAAAAATTGCCAAAACGGCGAAAGTGTAACATAATGGATATTTAGGGGGAATATAAAACGAGCAGTATATGTATCGCAGCAACAAGAGACGTGCAATGCCAGGCGTAATTTGAAGAAAATCGATAGAAAGAAAGAATATCTTATCTTCGATTCAACCCTCCGCTTCTCATGTACATCTCTTCTTCTTCTTCTTCTTCTTCTTCTTCATGTCGCTGGCTTTTTTTTTTTTATTATTATTATTATTTTCGTGGTCTTATTTTTCTTGTTAATGATTACTTTTGGCCCTCTGGTGAATGACCATAAATTGTACCCCACAAACCAACCCCCATCTATACTG